GGAATTCACAGTTCTTAACAGGCTGCATCAGCAGTGATCAGTGGGAACCTCAAAATGCCTCTAAGCCGAACTGTGCCCACCAAAATTTTATAACAGAGCAAGTCGAGAGATTCCTCAGTAAGTCGAATCAAACGTTCAACGCGCGGGCAACACGTGCATCGTCCGCGCGTTAAACTAATTAGGGTCTGGAGCGAATGTCGCGCGCGAGACACCGTTCGGAACGCCGCGTCGCCGCAACGTGGATCTCCTGCCTCACACCATCTGATCTTACCTGATGGAGCTTGAGTTGTTGGTTGTGAGGGTGTATCTGAAATGCTGGACATCAGTGTTGACATATCTGGTCTACGTTGGCTGGCTGAATAAAATTATCGCCACAAAAATTGATCGATTCTATCGACTATATCTTAAGAATGTCTCACTGGAACCGCCGCCACCGTAGCACACTTGTTGCCTGGTCTGGCCACATCGATTGCATGCCTGGCGACAGTTTTCGATCATCCATGACGGGTTACTGGTGCATTCACCACGAGCTGCCCATGTGGCGCACATCGGATGTCGGTTGTTACATTCTGCAAAACGTACATTAATTCTCATCAATATTGATCGGTGGTCATAGCAGTGCTACTCTAGTAACGCAGCCAATCAGTAAGGTAGTGGGTGTGCCCTGAACCAAAGATTACCTACAGATTCGTGAGTACACTCGCTGCTCGGCCTGGGAGGGGCATTCTTCACTTTCGCTTGTTCCTTTTGCTATTTCACGTTATCTAACAGGTAGACTCTTGTGAAGCTGCGAACAGGTACAAAAAAGCCTCTCTGGTTACACAATTTTACAGGTCTTAACAAGGTGGCCTGTATAGGCTTCGATGAGTACTATTTGGTGCCCCCACCAAGCCGAACTGCGAAGAAAGTTCCCTTCCCTAATGACCTAGCTAAGGGTGTGCATCCTTTCCCTATGACCCTCTCCTACCACCCTCGCGAAAATGAACCACAGCTTTTCACTGAATAAGGTGCTAAATGCGTTCTTTCCACTCGCGAATCGAGCGACGGTTTCATAGCAACCCGTTGGGCATCGTTCACAGTTCGCGATAGAATGGGCGACTCAGTCGCGCGATTTGAGCGACTCACAAGGTTAAAGGGTTCTGTGATTAGCGCTAGAGCGAGTTTCTTCGCTTTCCGTCGAGGTCACTTCTGAACCCGCTTCTGATTCTAATGGCAGAATTGACCGAGTCGTACGACTTTTGTCGCTGCCGCGAACTATGAACGATGCTCACCAGCCGAATTTGTCGCTCGCGGCAAAAGGTGATCTGCATGTACTGCTGCTTGTATGAGATATGTCCTTTGGCTTGAAGTAACTTTAGCGCTATGCGGAAAGTAAAGTCACAAAACCTTTGGCGCTGTCCGGCTTCGAGGGGTAAAGCGCTTATGCGAAAGTAAATTCACAAAAACCTTGGCGCTGTCCGGCTTCGAGGGGGCATATGCATTTGCGCTGGTCCCTTCTACTGTTTCATGCTAACTAGCAAGTCTCACTTTGGTGAGACGTAAAAAAACTTGTGAAGCTGCGGTATAGTGTGAGTGATAAACTTTGGTCATAGGAATTTACACGTCTTTACAAGACAGCATGTGCAATCCTCACACACTATTCGCTGGCCCCTCCAAACCGAACTGCGCCAAAATTTCGAAAAATTCATAAGCAATAATTCAAATCATACCGACATTGAGATTGTAGGTAGTCGGTCGGCAGATGCCGCAACTTGCTCTGCACCATAGGTTCATGTATGATGGGTTGTTCCGACATTCTCCGTTATTGGCCCATGGGCCACAACACTGTTGCTCGTTGAGCAGGTCTATGATCAGGTTCGAATGATCGATCGGTCAATAAGATCAATAGTGCTGCAAATGTTCAATGGACAAAGAGAACAGTACCTCTTGCCTTGGTCCAGCTGGCGTGGTCGTCATGATGGGGGGCTGGGTTGTAGGTGGTTGCTGAAAGGGTAAATCTATCAGTTTCATTACTTACAGCTCTGATTAAGGGCCGCCAATTCATCAACCGCACTTACGCTCAGTCTGTACACATCGATTGTTTTGACATATGCTGAGATAGCAACGATCCTCATCTGTTGATTATTGATTTGAAGTATTGATTAAGGGTTTTTGCTTCAAAAAGAACTCACTGTTAAAATATCCTCCACAGTTGCCTCCGACTGCAATCTTTGCCGCGCAGCGTGCGGCACCGTGCGAGAAGTCACAGAAGAGGAATCTAAGGAAGTGGTCAGTAATTGGTTAACTTTTTTTATCGTGAAAACATATTTTCGATCTACATACAATCTGTTCGTCAATTAAGCGTTTCTTTGCAAACACCGCCCATTTCTGCGCAAGCTCCGCCCAAAACCTTGCACGTGACGCTAAAATCGTTGCCATGATGCCTTTCCAATCAGTACTTCCCGAGTGTGTGGGCAAGTCTATATGGCTCTGTGATGGTCCTGGCGCATTAGCATTCTGTAGAGAAAGCTCTTCGAGCTATTTTAAATCGTCTATCGCGACGATTTAGTCGAAACGTGGGGCAGGCGATACGTTCTGGGAACAATGATTTGTTTGCTGCGTTATCCTTTTTTGAATAGTGAAGTCGGTCATATTAGAATGTTAGAAAGGTGGGGTAAACTGTTTTGACCATTATATATTGAAATGTAAAAGAATTTTTTGGCTTAAAGTGGTGACAACTAGCTCTGGGAGTGCCAGTGAATGTGCGTGTTCTCGAAAGCGAGATTCCCACAAAGCAGTGTTCCTCGAACCGCTCCGGTGTTGAAAAAATAACTGCTAAATCGGTCAGTAATTACAATTTCCTTTACCAGTTCTTGTTTTCTTTATAAGCTATTTCACTGGTAGTTGTTTTGACGATGAGTTCTGGGTCAGCGTCTGTGAAAGAACAACTCACCGCGATCCACATCCCTGTGGATTTCCACCTGAACATGTTGGACGAGCTTGGTAGGTGTAGAGGTTATCTGAAAATATCTGTTCATAGGGCAAGGTGAACAGGTACAAGTACGCAGCTATGCAATTTCCCCACGTACTAGGGGTGGGAGAAGAGCACTGAAACTGCAGGATTGTGATAGATTTATGCTTTTCCATGTCTACACGTCACCCTTTCTCCTGGGCCCCTTGCTGCTCTCGCAGCCATGCCTATTTTTGCCCTCGGATGTAGACTATCACGCGAATCACGTAGCATACAGTGGGCAGAAGCCTGAAGAACGTCTAGCTATCACATAGACACCCCAATAGAAAGTCAGAGGGCGCTGATAATTAGCTCGAGTTCACTTAAAGAAACGGTCCGCGATCAGGTATCGAAGTTGAAAATATGGTGTGAGGAGGGTAGTGCCGACGTCCGCGCGCGAAACAAACCCTGTACCGTTTTCGCGGAAAAAAAGTGCAGGGGAGGGGCGCTATAAGGCAGAATAGATCCAGTGGTTCCTCCTTTTTTCCAGTGACTCCGCCTCCCAAGCGCCGCCCTTTAGTGAGAAACCAAGTTTTCGGACGAGAAAAGCATGAACATTTGAGCCCCTTCGTTATTTGTACGGACGTAGGGTTGTATTGGGTCAGCTGAGCGCACAAAGGGGTACAACTGGAAATGTATTGCAAAAAGTATGCATTGCTTCATCCGGGGGAATTTGGATTAGGGGCGGTCGTCCAATGGCCGCACGCAGCCGTGCCAGGAAACTATTTGCTTTTCCAGGCTAATTTAGTCATTTTTTCCACCTTGTGAAGATAAGGAGCTGCTAATCTGGGAAAAAGTAGCCAAAACAGTGAAAAGTTGGAAAAATGACTAAATTAGCCTGGAAAAAGCAAATAGTTCCTGGCACGCGCTGCGGCCCGTTGACGACCGCCCTAATCAACTGCCCGGATGACGAGGGTATGTAGTTGCAAAGTTGCACGAAAAGTTGCAGCGAAAATACATCATATTGAATCTTGACAAAAGCAAAACAAAAACTCAAAACAACAAAGAAACATTATGATGCGATGAGTTCACTGAAAAAATAAGAATATTAAAGGTCAGTCTTTCATACGTGGCGCCACACCTACTTCTGGCAGCGAGCCAATAACGTGGAACGCTCGTCCATAAGCGCTGTTTCCCCATCGCATGCACGTACAAACCAGGATTGTAATGGGGTCCTATTTAGGACATTGGGCATGTTTTTTCTGCTTTTTTCTTCACTATTGAGTTACTCTGAACCTTGTCCTCTTTATGCGAAGCCCAAATTCACTATCTAAGATGGCAACTGATCGCGGGCTTTGCCTTTAAATCTTCGGCGCCGCAAATACAGCTCCTCTGCATGCACCAAATTCGCACCGCGGTGTATTGATTGGACAGTCCATCAATATTGGTCATAGGAAAGAATGGTTGCATAGTGTTCGTGCCGAAATGTGCTGCACTAGAACATGCCGCGTTGTTCGGTGGATACTGAGTTTCGCGAGCGCCACGCGACTGAAAAAAAAAGTGGATTATGGTTACAAGTTAAACGGTTATCGTAAATTAGGTAGAGGCATTAAGGCCAGCGGACGAGACTGCCAAAGTCACGCCCACTTCCTGCTCGTCTGGCGTCCTCACGGTGCAGATGGTGTCGGTTAAGCCAGTGAAGAAACGCAGGACTCCGGTCGTCCAACGGCACTATCTGAGAGCAAAGATTAACGGCGAAAGCAGGTAATGGGCGTAGGCTTATCCTTTCCGTTGCCCTCTTAACTACCTCTGCACCGTTAATGATTCAAAAACTTGGAAAAGAACTTTTCTTCAGCCTCTTTCACGTATGATACCTGCTCCGCGACTGCCGGCCAATTCTCCCCACTAATTCAGCGCGATGAACGAGTGATGATTCCAGAAAAATGGGGATCGTTCGAGGGATGTGGTCGAGGACATATCTCCTGCAAAAGCCAGCTATATGTGGTTTTGGTCCATGGTTTCTTGGCCAACCGCCCAATTGGTTAACATCGCCATCGACGGTGGTGATCATGGGTCCGTTAACTGTGAAGGGTTGATGACGTGCTACTAGACATGCTTTGGCCGCCTATGGGGGTCGTATTTGGCCGCCAAAAGGGGGGGTCGTATTTGGGCTGGGAAAAATTTATTTTTATAGTTGATTTTTCTCGCTTTGCGGACGTTTTGGAGGGGGGGTCGTATTTCTGGGAGTTACGTGGTTCACTTCATGGAGTTTTATGAATTTTCTGTGTTATAGGTACTATGTACGCCCGTACGATGTACGTCGCATGCCTACTACATACCCCCGCTCGACAACTTTTTCGCCGAGTATAAACCACAACCACAGTCAGCCATGTCAGCCATCGTACGAGCATGGGGGGGGGTCGTACCAGCCCTGAAAAAGGGAAGGGGTCGTATCGTAAAAGCTCGACCAAAATCCCCATCGAATGCTGTGCCCTGATAACGAGTCACATAAAATGTGGATGAACAGAAAACCTGTGTAGAATCAGTGGTGACGTCTGAAGAATGTCATTAACTTGTTATGTGACGTCAATGACACGTCACCTACGAACAGGTAACGTACTGATCCGCGCATTTGTGCTCCGCCAGCGCCCTTATAGCTGTCATATCATACCGCCTCCAGAACTGCTCGCGTGATGTACGTCTTAGGATATCGACTGCTCCGCTTGGGTGCAACGCGATTTTCGCGCGCGCGCTCGAACTCTACGATTGGGTAGGTTTCTGCAGAGGCGTCGGTTACGGAAGCAACGTGCACCGGACTGCAAAATCACTTCTATAAAATGACCAGTCCTAGCGCCGTTAGCTACCAGAACCACATCTGAGCGGATTGTTTCAATAATAGAATTGCTCAGAACTGACTGATTACCTCCTATGAACACATGTGGATTGCCGTGGGAATACTCAAGTGCCGTCCATGCAGCCGGGGTTGGGCAGCCCTGAAGACAACTATTAAATTTTGAAAAGCAAATTGCCTGGATCATATAATTTTTCATGTCGCTTCACTCAGTTGAAATTTCCTCGAATATTTGCTGGTGCCTTCATTAACCAAATGAACATAAGGGCAGGCCTTGAATCGTCCTTTTGCCTGCCAGACGGGGCGTGTGTCAGGGGGAGGGCTGGCTTTGGCGCGACGCCAGTTCGTTTCTCAACAACTGTGGTCGCTTTTCCGCTCCAACAGTTGGTGGATAGCGAGCTGACGCCACGCCAAACCCACCCCCATCCACCCCCGCCCTACAAGGCCACAGCGTCTGCAGCGAAAACGACTATATGTGAGCATGTCCCTACGCTGTGCTGTATCACGTGCAAGAAGTATAAACGCGGCAAACTTACTTGACTTGGAGCAGTATATGCCAGTACTTGTTGATAATTGTTTGTAGCCTGTACAGCACTTATATCCGCTTCTATGAATGGTCTACCAGTATTACCAACATTACGTCGGAACACTCGGGATTGCTGAAATTTAGTTTTTGTCAATATTTGAGTGGAAACTACGTGATACTGCCGTGGGGGGAGGAAGTACTACCCTGCTCTTGAAATTCCGTGTCCTGGTACGACCTCCCCCCAACTATCCTCCTGGAACCCGCTGTCTCATGATCTCATTTAGGTATCGTGCTGGATAACTCTTTTTTACCTTTCGTCTCCCCTTTGGCATAAAGGCAATATACAGGAGGGGGGGGCACCCAAAAAAAGTCACTTTGCCTCATTGGACTTTCGAGGCGCTATAAGTTACACTTTATCAAATTCTGATCGGACATTTTACTACCATATTGAAGAGCATATTAAGTACTATCACGACACTCCGCCACAGCCTTCTGGACGAACGCCATCGAGAGATTCTGGCACGCGACCGCGATGTGGTACCTGAGATCAGCGGGGTAGTCGATTTCTCCGCCACCGTAGACCAACCCTATTGAACTCCGCCCGAACTGAGTAATGAGTGGATTCTCACGCCGGACTTATACTCACTTCATTACATTCTTCCTCAGGTACGAAACGCCCTTCCATTCGAAGTAGGCGAGAGTTTTTCCAAAACCATTCGATTCCATGTGGTGGCGCCCAAACCTGTAGCAGCACAAGGTCTCCAAGAAGGCACGGGCGACCACATGTAGGGAGGATATTCTTCTCGAGTTACTTGATGTAACCGCCAGCGCTCACCTTCAGTCCGGGTCTACAAAGAAAATATCGGTCTTCCCATTCCAGGTACCCCGGTCCATACCATCAACTCGCCTCGGCGACTACGGCTTGAACGATGATGCTCGCTGGTCGCAGCGAAGCTTCGACGCAAGTGCTCGATCGTTGGGGGTCAGCCAGATTTGAGAGTACTTGCGCTCCAGGTAGTATCCATGGTGCACCCATACTAGTTCGCAGCTGTTTGGAGGTGACATGAATTCTAAAGGTCTTCTCCAGTCAGGCTGGTGCGACTGGAGATGACTTCATATTTTGGTGTACATGAAGGTTGCTGGCGTGAGCCAGCCGCCTGTTATAAGGGAACTACATGAAGGTGGTGGGCGTGAGCCAGCTCCTGTTTATAGAGGAACATCTTGGGTATCCTCCGCCCTGGTACTCGTATCCACGTCCTCTGTCTGGGCTGCAAAAACTTTGCTGATATGTGACTTGGTCAAAGTGACTTTTTTTGGCCACCCCTGTACGTCTCATGGCATGAGGTGCTAATTCTCCACACGCCAGACGTGCCTGCAACTCCGTTTTAATTAGCTGACAGCTCATGGACGCGTGCGGTCGCGAGGCAGACTGCTTGAAGCATCAAAATTAGAACTTTACAGAGTGGAATTTATAGGTGGGCTAGGGTGGTGGTAGCCTTGTGTTCTCTATTAGAATCTCTCCTGAAACTCACGTCGATAGTCAACCATCCGCGAAATGCCCCTGTTTGAATCAATCCATCAGGACCTGTCCTCCCCATGAGTTCATTTGTGAACAGAGAAGATTCGGCTGGGGAAAAAATTTCCGGGATCGTTGCAGTTCTAGGTGAGTCCCCATATGGTAGAGCACGCCTTGGTAATCACACCTCCGGCGTTAGGCTATTTCCCAGCCTTAAACGCTATTCCCTTTTTGCTAAGCATAAGCAATAGCGCCTTGTCTCACCTCTTTAGAAACTCGCGATGCCATGGCAAGAAAGCTGGTCCAGAATGTGCTCCAGGTGATGATTGGAAGGAAGAATGGATCCGAGACAAGACGTCATAGTCACCATTGGTTATGATCGTCCTCATAGCAGTGTGGTACCTAGACAAGGGGGTTTAACAACATTGTCGCTATACAAATCTGTGGGAGTAATTGTTCCGCTTTTGCGCTTTAGTAGTCCATTCGGCGCTGGTTACACGGCTTCTGTTAACTGGACATGCTCTCACTGTGAGGGTTTAGAGACGGCGCAGTTAGGGGACCCGGGGGGGGGCATTTTCGTTTTTGCTACTTCCTATCAACCGTATCGACCTATCTGCTACAGCCTCTTCTCGAGTTGACACATTTTACCATGATGATTGACGACCTTGCTCCAGCTTCACGATAGTTCACAACGTCCTACCGGTGAGACTTTGCTAAACTGAAACTGCGTGAAGCAAGAAGTACCAAATGACGTCGCCGAACTGCCCTAGCAAAAGTGATCTGAACATTTACAGAACCGTTGAAAAGAAATATGAAAGCCGTGGTTATGGTCATGCCTGTTAACAAAGTGTTTAACAGAAGTCGCCATTCGCCTAAGCAGAAGTTTGTTTCTTGTCGCTATGAATCCGGCCCTGGGAACTTTGACTGTCGTGTCATTATTGGCATGAAATTCAGCACCCGCAGCTCTCGTGGTTTTGGTAGTATTGGGATCATTCAGCGGTCCCCGACTTACCTTGAGGTACGGCTGTCCGCCTGAACAATTGCACCGTCATAGTGTTTTCGAAAAATGAGTAGCAAATGGTTTGCTACTGAGGCATGCCGAGCGACGAACCAATTAGAATTTTACGAGCAGCTTCAAGACACTATCGATGAATTACCTCACAGAGACCTCAAGATAGTGCTAGGCGATTTCAATGCTCACTCAGTTTTAGCAGGTGAACGACAACCGGATTTGCAACGAGAGCGACTAACCGTTTGCGTCCTCCACGCGTTTTAGCCACAACGGCGAGCGTTTGGTGTCATTCTGCGATCACAACGAGCTCTGTACTGGAAACACCTACTTCCAACATACGAGGGGCACCAAGAAAAACATTGCGAAAGCTCTCCCGACCGAAACGGGCGACACAATGAGATTGTCCACATATGTATAAGCCGGAAATGGAGATCATCCTTGCAGGACGCTCGAGCATGTCGTGGTGCAGATATTAGCTCAGACCATTACTTGGTGAGAGCCACAGTCAAAATTAAGCTCAAGCCAGAGAAAGACTGTCACCGCCCGAGCTTTTGACGTAGAAAGACTGAAGAAGAATCCTGTAGTCGCCTGCCACGCATTGTAACGGGGAAGCTGCGGAACCGTCTCGGGCCCCAACGTTTAGAAGGTGGTTCGAATGCGGATGGCATTGAAGAAAAATGGAAAGCAGTCAGAGAAAAAATTAATGCAGAGGCCGCAGTTGGTCGAAGACGAGGGAAGCGGAAAGAGCAATTTATTCAAGACAGGACGTCGCAGAAAATAGACGAGAGGAAGTACGCGAAGCTCCAAAAAGAACAAGCCAAGACTTGTCATGAACTACAGGAAGCGAGTCGGAAATACGCTGAGCTAGATCGTCTGGTGAAAAAGCTCTGTCGCCGCGACAAGAAGGATTGGCTCACGCAGAAAGTGCTGAAGCCCAGCATGCGGCGGATCGTGGAGACTCGAGAACTCTTTATCGCATTATCGGTGAGCTGACTGGGAACTCGAATAACTCCAACGTGCCCATTAAAAATAGCAATGGCAGATTGCTCCTGAGCGGCGAGGAGCAGAACGAAAGGTGGCTGCAACACTTTCGCAATGTCCTCAACCAGCCGAGGCCAAGTGAAACGCATTGCTTCGATGGGATAGAGGGCTGTGATGAGCTTGACGTTGACGTCAGCTCCATAACAATTGAAGAAACGGAACAAGCAATCAAATGTCTTCGGAACAAAAAAGCACCTGGTCTTGACGAAATCGCACCGGAGTTGATAAAAGCAGGAGGAAGACCCATGGCAAACGTGTTGACGAGACTGTTCAATGGTGCTGGACTCGTAGAGAAGTCCCGGAGGACTGGAGAAAAGGAGTCATCGTCAAATGCCTCAAAAAAGGAGACCTGACAGAATGCGGTAACTGGAGGGGAATCTCGCTACTGTCTGTGCCTGGAAAGGTATTTTGTACGGTACTGCTGCGGCGACTACGCGGAGCCATCGACGAGCGACTGAGAGAGGAGCAAACCGGATTTAGAGTGGTAGGTCCTGTTGCGAACAGATTTTCACTTTACGCAACATAATCGAACAGTGCATGGAATTCCGTCATCCCTCTTCATAAATTTTGTCGATTTCAAAAAGCATTCGATAGCATACACCGCGAATCGCTTGGGCCATTCTTAAGTTATATGGTGTACATTGCCCTATATCAGCATCTTCAGGGACTTGTATCGCAACTCTTCGTGCTGTGTTAGAACGAATGACGGCTATACACCATTCTTTGAAATTGCCACTGGAGTACGACAGGGATGCATTCTGTCTCCGATTCTGTTCAATGTATGCCTCGACTTTGTTATGAGAAGAGCGATGGGAAACGCAGTAGCGGGCATCAATTGGCCTGTTCAAGGCCGTCTCACAGACTTGGACTTTGCCGACGACATTGTGTTGATTGCTGAGGATAATGATAAACTCCAAGACAGCACCACGAGACTCAGTAAGGAAGCAAGCATGGTTGGCTTGCGAATAAGTGCTGAGAAGTCGAAGGTCATTCACCTAGGAATGAACGTGCAGGTGAATGTAAACGTTGACACTGCGTCGCTAGAGAATGTCGACACGTTCACTTACCTCGGTAGCGTGGTCACGCACACTGGTGATGCTGAAGCGGATGTCCGGGCTCGACTTGCAAAAGCTGCTGCTGTGTTCAGGCGACTGCTGCCGATATGGAAAATGTCCTCAATATCGCGTAGCATTAAAATGAAACTTTACTCGTCCATCGTTATTCCCACAGCACTCTACGCAAGCGAAACATGGAAAGTGTCTGCCAAAGCTCGCCAAAAAATGAACGCCTTCCACCAGCGATGTCTTCGGCGAATCATGAAGATACGATACATGGACCGGGTCACGAATGAAGAAGTTCTACGACGGTGCGGTATGAGCAGCCTTCACGTGATTGTGGCACGGCGTAGGCTTCGACTGGCTGGCCACATATTGCGCATGCCACAACATCGAATCCCAAGAGTGGCCATGTTCTGGATTCCTCCAGGAGCCAAGCGAGCACGAGGCCGTCCCAGAAACACGTGGAGACGTACATTCGAAAATGACTTGCGAATCATGAATGCTTCTAGGGACCAGGCCGAGGAAATCGCGCAAGACCGACAACAGTGGAAAGAATTCGTCGCCCGATGTGCTCAACAGCACGGGAGGAACTAAGTAAGTACGTAAGCGAAGCTGCGGAGGCTATCACTGGCCTAGCGTCCCACCCACCAGAGTAGTCCCACCCCCAGCTGGACACCATCGCCAAGAGAATGCTTAGTGTCTATGGTCCCATTCGTCTTTCTGTCCTCTCATCCTTCGTCTCTAGCCCCTCTCCTTTGCTTTCAGTGCCTCTCTGTCTTTCGCTTCCTCACATTATCTTTCAGTCAAGGTACGGCATCGTTGTGAGAATCCCAGGGGTGTCGCACGTAGTCACTGGAAGAAGTGATATTTAGCCGGTGCCCCCTCCCCCTCCCCTTGCTACCGTCGTCGCGGAACTGCACACAATCCTTCTTCTTTCTGGCAGTCGACTTTGATAGTTGATTGGTGATGATCTCCTACCCGCCACTCAACGAGAGTGTTTTGGGGAAAGGGTTGGGAACTGGGGGCATTTGGGAAGATAGTAGCCAGGATTGAGAAGGAGCATCGTGCTGAAACCGTCATATCAACTCTTGTGAAGCTGGAGCAAGGTCGTCAAGCCATCATGTTAAAACCTGTCAACTCGAGAAGAGGCTGTCTAGATAGGTCGACACGTCGATGGGAAGTAGCAAAAGTGCGAAATGCCCTCTCTCCCCCCTCCCCGTCGCCGAACCGTACCCTTTTGCATTCCGACGCTGTGTCCTGCTTCTGAAGTCAATTCAGACCGTCTGCAAAAAGGAGGACTCAACGCTCTCTGCGGGACGTCTCCTACCTTGGTTGAACATCAAGTGATATCAAGAGTGAGCCGCAGTCCCCACGACTGCTAATCAAATGGGCTTTTCGCTACTGTTTTACAAGGCCAGTGTCGGGGTCTAAAGCTCTATGATCCTCCCCTATCCCCTCCATACCCCCCCCCAGGCCCTGAAATCAACTCAGGCTTCTGCTCTTCCTGAAACGGCCAGGTCATAACAGCAGTAAATCTGCATACAACAGGAGAATTCCAAGTTGCTCTGCATAAAGTGGAGCAGTGTGAGTCTGATTTCTGGGCAGATTCCCACGATTAGGAAGACAATTGGGCGATCTTTCCGCGAAAGATTCACATATCTCAATCTCGGTGCTTCGCCTTCTGCTATATCTCGTGTAAGCGAGTTACTCAAACCATTGCTGCAACGGGGGTGCCCTGCGAAGTGCTGAATGCCAATTCGGGCGGGTGGTGGGTGGGCAAAAAGACAAAGTACTCGGGAGTTTTTCGGAACTCACCGCTGTCGTTCAGCATCTGTCAATACCCGATACTCCTTTCGAAGGCCTCTTGTAAGACGTTGTCCATTTGGCAATACGCAGTTTGCGCCACCACTACCTGAACGTATGGATTATCACTTTTCCGCTGGGATCTTGAAGGCAAACATTTCTTAACGATTACTGGAGGGGGGCGATTGTTGCCAGTTTGACTGGTACTATGGGGCAGTAAGAGGGCGTTTAGTCACAACACCATAACGCTCAGGGCAATTTGGCCAACGCTTCCATCAATGACACTGGCAACAACCGCTCGCCTCCAGCAATCGTGCCCACTGCCCTCGAAGCAGAAGTTAGATGTAGGCAAGGCAGACCCACTCAAACTTCAGCGCCAAATTCGACTCGCCCAGCTCACAGCCCAGCGCTTGAACGAACCTCCGAAAAATCCGCAAAGACATGCAATATCTAAGCATTCGTATGCGTCTCTTGCCGTTTCAGAGGTGGCCAGAAGTGTTGCAGTCGGACCAGCAGCTCCACCAGCACCAGGTGATCGAACAGAACTGGGAGACACGGCTGGCACAGTCTAAAAAAATTACTTCGTCCAAATTCTCACCTACGTAACAACATTGCTTTCTATTTCCTCTTTGTGAGTTGAAGGCGCTTGGGCACTTTCCCACTACAATATATACCATTTTCACTTCAAATTCACGACTTTCTAAACCGAACTTACGACTTTTCAAAACAGATCCGAGACTCAGTTACCCATGCCTTACTAGACACTACTGCAAGCCCCGCCCCTATAGCCACGCCCACATTTCAGCGTGGTCGTGATTTTTCAAATTTTATTTTGGAACTTCTGCTTTTCTGATTTTTTTTGCGCTTTCGCTATTTCGCAAATTCACACTAGCTGTAAAAGACTGCACATCGGAACATGGGCAACTCCGCTCATTGTAAAACTATTTTTGCAAAATTCGCACAAGCGAAGATATTCGCAGACGCGCATTTATGCACTGGCAATTTAGGCTCCGCCCCTTGACCACGCCCACTTTGCGGTTTTTTTTGCAATATTTTAATCTTTTTTCAAAAGTATTGCATTTTTGACTGCTACGTGAGGCCACGCCCACTGTGAGAAACTCCGCCCTTTTCAAAGGAGCCCCGCCCGCTTCCCAAAGATGGTAGAAATCGGCATTCTTGTGGTAACTTTCGGATCGCGCACTGCGGCGTTAAACAGCAGCTATCAAACGATAACGGCAGTATAGAGTTTCAGCCTGCATGCTAGGATATTGCTGGTCAATCACTTTGTGAGCTGAAGGCGCTGTGCACTTTCCCACTACAATATATAAAATTATAACCCAAAGGAATATTTCGCGCTGGTGGGGCGGAGATACTCGACTGTTGTGCTTTTCTCGCTGGCGTTCATCCTCCTTATACATTGAACGGGAAGGCTCGCTGAGTAGAAGGTTTCAGCGTGAGGTGTCTCCGCCCTTACCATCAACGCTGACTGTTCCTTCGAGCTATAACTCAACAAGTCGACAAACGCGAAATTCACGTAATAGGGGCAAGAAGTCATTACTCAGAGCCCCAAAAATGAGCCGCTATGGTAGACACTATAGGTGCTCGGAGACCGCTCTAGAGTGATCAAGGGAATGATTTGAAGAGGGCGAGCTGTCTCCTTGTCGGTGGTAAACCCAACTAGAACTGTACATACTTCCGAGAGGGTAGCATTTCCTGTTCGAAAGTGCATGATAGCGGGTCTAAAGGGTAACGATGTCGGAGTGCTGTTTCCATCCTCCGTCCGCGCTGCCGCACGGCCAGTCACACACCTAACCGTAGCCAGACACGCTACTTGCCTGCGCCCTCTCACTTCTCGTTGCTCTCTACCTCTGACTGCGTGTTTCGTGGCACTATCTTGGTATTCACGCAAGCGCTGCACATTGAAAATAGCGTGGGCGGAGCCATGGAAAA